TGGCCGAGCTCAGATATCTTGTTATAGCATTGCTATAAAAGATGACTAACACCTATCCTATGCTCTGTTCTGGAACTATAACCTGGAGAGACACCGGCAAACACAGAACACGCAGCTCAGACTCTCTGCACCCCCTTCCGAGGCCTTCACATCAGCCCATCCACCACCTGTCAGTTTGCTTCACCCATTAGGCATGTGTTCGCGAGTGTGTGCATGCGTACACGTGTGCGAGTACACACCCATGCGCATTTCTTTGTTTATACAATGAAAGTCTAGGTTTTAGAGGTTGAGGCATTTCCCCAGTTGGAGTACACGGATCCCACAGGTTTCAGCTCACAGCAAATGCCTGGGCACATCCGCCCACTGAGCTCACTTTGGTCACCTGGCACACACATGGCGGAGCTGTCATGAAGCCACCAAGCACCAACGTGTCTGGTATGGCTCTGAAAGAGGGGAAGCACGTGGCCAGCCACGGTGGGTGCGGAAAGTGATCTGGGGAGAAGCTTATGGTGGAGCTGTGACAAAACAAAAACAAACAGATGGCAGAGAGACATCAGGATCATCTCCAAGTTCAGTGACATCAAATCGGTGACCGAAGCCTGTCTCTGTTAACACAGGTGGAGATCACAACCAGCTCCATCTACAGGGAGCTCTCAGAGGCAACCCCTCCCCTGAGGAACATTGCAGAGGGACCTGGATGACTTATGACTAAGTCACATAGTGAAGATGTAAAGAGATTAAAGATGCTGACATACCACATGGTAAGGGAGTCCATCCCACACAGGCTTCCTGTGTAAAATGCCAGGGTCATATATGAGGAGCCTTGCCTTCTGATACAGGAAGCTGAAGAAGCCCTGGAGACTCAAGTGCCAGTGAGGTACAGTAGACCCTGTCTCCAACAAGGTGGAAAGTAAGGACTGATAGCCGAGGTTATTCTCTGACCTTCATACACATGCTCTGGAAGACTTAGATCTATACACACAGACACACACACACACACACAGACACAAACACACACAGACACACACACACGGAGACTGACTTAGGATCCATATTCATCTACATTCCCAGGTTCCACCTTCACCACCAAACTAGAACACTCCCCTCCCCCACAACGCAGGGCAGGGACGGCCAAGTGGTATGCTTGCCAGGCTGTCTGAAAGACCCTGGGATCCCCTGCTTGAGAGCTGGAATGAGATGTGACAATACAGTGGGCACAGAAACCCAAGAAGCCCACCAGAGGAAGATTTCACAGCTAGGAAGCCACTGGGAGAGTGGGGCCAAGAGTCAGGCACAAGTGGATCCCACAGTCCTTCCCACCACAGCAAGCCTTGACAAAAATAAATCTGCCTCTTAGGGATGGAATTCAGCCGAAACTGCCCCCGTATTCACATCAGCCAGAGGATTTGGAGGCTGAGCGGAGCCTCTGAATTCTAGCCTTTGAATTCAAGGCACCATTCGGGTCTAGTCTAACATTCTAAACGCGGCTATTCAAATGTCTAAGGACGTTGAGAGTATCCAGAAGTCACTGAGTTCTTGGGCTGCAGCCTGCACCTTGCCTTCCTCACTAGAGCCCAGATCTTGGGGAGCTGCATTAGTGGAGGAAACTGGCATGGAGAGAGAGAGAGAGAGAGAGAGAGAGAGAGAGAGAGAGAGAGAGAGGCGGGAAGCGCTATCAGGGAGAGTAACAGAGAGGCTGCTGTACCCAAGACCTCTGGAGCCACTGGAGCCAGGCCTCTGCCTTGCTGAAGCGTCTGCCACTCTACAGGGAAGGAAGCAACACAAAATTGTCTGCACCACACTCGCATTTTAATCCGACTTTCTCTAAACTCACAATCAAATCAAAATGTTGGTTACTTCTAACGGGCTGCGGTTTGTGTTTTACTACATGGGCAAACCTCCCTGAAGCTAGAGTACAGCGCAGTCACGTGGTACAGCCTCCAGTTCAGGGACTGAGTTCGACATGAACCTTGCAGACTGCCCCACACCTGTGGACAAGGAGCCCCGTATCTGCTGTACCCGTGTCCTCAGGGGAAGGTGACCACTGATTGGCTGGATGGCTGCTTTCCAAGTGTCTTCTTCCGAGCTGTTTAGGAAGGGGGGGGGGAGAGGATCCTCCCTCACGTCTCATCATATCTCCCCCATCTCAGTGGAGATGCTAGTGTCTGTGGATGGTAAAGGACCAGCTCACTTCCTGGCCTGGCTGGGAAAAGGAACCTCTGGAATTCTGCTTAAGGAAACTGGGGGGCTTGAGAGACTGGTGGGGTTCTTTGTCACAGAAAGGGATCCCAAGTGCCCTCAAGTTCTGGAAGGTGAAGATGAGACCCCTGTTAAAGGTATTTCTGACTTGGCCTCTGGGGAGCTGCGAGCCAGCTGTGGCTAGGTAACTGTCAGCCACTGTGGGGGCTTCAGCCAACCAACCCCTAGCAACATGGTTGCCTCTCCTCATGGAAGGTGCTGGGGGCCATCTGAGGGCAGTCTCTGTTCAGTCAGATACTCCCACTCTAGCAGTGGAGAGCTCCCTGATACCCCACCCTTTCGGATGTCCCTGGATAGTGTTAGCTCTGAATGTTTCTGTTCCTCACCAAATGACCATCAGTGGGCAGGCACTCAGATCTTCAGCCCCCAAGCGCCATTTTGGACCAGAGGCCAGCTTCATCACTCAGATCCGCCCACCTTCAGTACCTCCACGCTCAGTGCCACACATCTGCTCCCCTCCAGTCTGCCCCCACATAATCTGCACAGGGTTTCCGAGCTGACAACACTCTCCTCTCTGGGCATCCCATGGCTTGCCCTGCCCATTGGGTGCCTGATGAGACACACTTTGTCCAGAAGACCAGCCCAGTACAAGGGGAAGGGAGGACCCCAAGCTTCATCATATCTGCCTCAACCCATCCTCCTCCAACTCACAGAAGCTTAGGACCTGCACTTGCCAGGGCAAACCCCAACATTTTATCATTTCCTATCAACCTATGTGTTTTACGGGACCTACTAATTACGGCAAACACACCTGTAATTATGATAATGCCTCTCCCAGTCGTACACTAGGTAGAACCTCTTAATTATAACTCAAACAATTAATCAACCAGCACACATTTTCTGAGCATCTGGCCCACGCATGGCTCTGCCAGGCACTGGGAAAGGAAAACCACACAGCTCTGTTCTGTGTCAACCAGGAACTCGCTCTCCTCTCCTCCCTTGCCTCCCAAACACCCAACTTGGTTTTGTTATTTTGTTTTGGTTTGTTTAAATAATGGTAACTTCAAGGTGGGGGTGTGTGAAAACTCAAAATGGAGTATACAAATTGGCACTGCCCTTGGAAAGCTGTCATTGGTCTCCCCTCAAAAGACCCAGAAACGAGAGCCATCTCTGGACAGCACTGAATGTGCCTCTTTGTCTGCATAGACCATACAGAGCAGGGTCTTCCAGGAAGTGGGTTTCACCCCTGGATGTGCAACAACACCCCGCCCCCATTCCCGGGATTCATAGCATAAGGGGACACAGCAATCCCATTGACAACCTACCCAAGCCTGCGAGAGGCCAGCAACAACCTACCCAAGCCTGCAAGAGGCCAGCGACAACCTACCCAAGCCATCAAAGGGTCAGTGACAGTCCTGCATGGCCCTAGAGGGAAGCGAGGAGAGTCCTCTTGCCTTGGGGCTTGTGAATCCCACCCCCCCATCAGTGGAAATGAAAACCACTTGCTGAAGACAAATTCCTGTTGGGGTGGACGGAGTGGGGGTCCTTAACTGACCCAAGGGCAGGGCTACAGTGTGAGCCACGACTCAATCACTCCCAGAGTTCCAGACTGGATCAAAATCCATTATTCACAGCATGCCATTGCTCCGAATGCTGCCCAGGCCTTTTTTAGCCAAGGGCAAAGGAGAGACAAAAGAGGACAGAGGCTGCGAGGGAGGATTTCTAGGACCTCCAGAGGCCAAGGACAAGGCTGCCTCTGAGCGTCTAAACTCCAGGGTCCAAGAGCAGGAGAATTTGAACGTGACCAAAAAGGTTCCGAGGACAGCACATGACCTCAGTGCTTCCTCGCGGGGCAGTGCTTCAAGAGTGAGAACTCGACTGAGACCTAGGGGCTTTCAAACTCTGAAATCCTTCTATGGCAAACATGCGTAGGGCGCCCTCAAAATCGCGAAGTTGGACAATCTTGCAGGGCTCATAGGAACCAGCTCACCTTCCGCATACAATTGCCCAGGCTCAGAGTCCCTCAGCGGCCAAAACTCCTCACTATCGGGGCCACTGTCCCGACCAGAAGCAGCTGTCCCAGCCGGAGAGGACAGAGACTTCGCAGAATTCGGAGTGTGGGAGTCGATACCCGCACCCGCCCCGCATCCTATTCAAGCCGGCGCCCTGGTAGGTTAGAGAGGGAAGGGTAGCAGGACAGCCAAGCGTGCAAGGCGCGTGTGCGCGCGACTGCGCGTGTAAGCGGTGGGTGGGTGGGCGTTCACTTCACCGTCTCGGACCAGAAAAGGGAACCAGCACCGCGGACTCGCCCCAGTCACCTCTCCCCTGAAGCCGATGCGCACAGCCTTCGAGCCCGGGACTGTCCGGGAGAGCCCTGGCCCCTTCCCGGATGCAGACCTCCTGCGCCCTCCTCTCTCCTTCTTACCCAGGATCCGGTAGAACCGACGCGGGCAGACGGGGCGGCAGCAGGACCCAGTCTCCGGCAGCCGCCCGAACCTCCATGAAAGCGCACCACGCGGCCAAACCCGATCCTCCGGCTTCCTGCGTGTGGAGCGCTGTCGACCCCGCTCCGCTTGCCCCAGCCCGGCCCGACCCCTCGAGCGCCCCTCCGTGGGCTACGGCTCCCTCAGCGCAGCCAGCTACCCTAACTGAACTGCGTTCCCTCCGGTGGCCGCCCGCGGACAGGTACCCACGCTCCGCTCGGACCCGGGTCGGGCCGCACGGACCCCTTTCGCAGCTACTCCCCTATTCCCGACCGGTCCCAGGGACGATCGGTGCAGACACTGGAAATTCAACTTTACCTCCGGCGCGGGCTTCTGGCTGCTTGCTCCGCGTGCCCGGCCGTGGCTCCTCGGGGCGGAGCGCAGCGTCCCCAGAGCCCACAGCTCAGAGTCCGGCACCGCCCCGTGAGCCGCCCCCGGGCCGCCCAGGCCAACGCGTCCCGGTTACGGTAGCGAGGCGCCCCCTCGTGCCCAAAGGGTCCCAGGGCGAGGACCCCCGTCATGGCCGGGGGGGAGCTCGAGGTTGGCTTCTTTGGGCATCATAGGGGACCATGGGACCATAGAAGGACAAAGACGTGCGCTTCCGCACCCACACACCCAAACACATGGGCTTCTTCACTCACATTCAACCACACTCAGAAAGGAACACATAGCTACACAGGTGCACACATATGAACCCCCATGCTCACTAGTGCTCCCATTCACCACCCGTCTACAACCTAGGGCACTCATACAAGCACAAGGCACACTCATGGTTTATACAAAGGCACTTGCTCACACACATTCGGGAGCTAACAGGGTGCTCTCTACTGCACACAATCAGACACACTGGCATGGACACACTCATTCTTATACACACCTGCGCAACCACTCATACCAAGTAAGGGGCTCACTCACACCGTGTGCCATTCAAGATGCACGGAACAGACTCCTACATATCCATGCCCCAAGAGAAGGAAGCAAAGCTCTTCCAAACAAACTCCAGAGACATTGGGAGGATGAGGTTTGAGTTTCCAGTCTAAGGACAAGTTCTAACTGTGGATCCTGGAGGCACACGTCAAGCAGGAGGTGTGGGCTTCGCGCTCTGATAGGGACCTTATAAGGATCTGGTGGCAGGAGGCCTCTTGTGGCCGCTGTGTCATTGTTTGCGTGGAGATGGCAATGTTCTTTTCCAGCTTCTGTCCTGCACCAGGCCTGGAAGAGAGGGATTTTCTCCCTGGAAACCGTTCCCTGGGTGTAGAGCTCAGGAGCCCAGGCACTGCTATCCCAGGAAGGCCACCATGTTCCGCAGGAAATGACTGCTTTTGGGACCTGTGCTCTTTGACGCAGTCCCACTTGTCAACACACTCTGTCTCTGGGGACAGGTGCTCCCGGCCAGCCCTCTGGATACTTGTGGACAGAGGCAGGGCGGGCTGGGAATGCCTTTGATGTAATGATAAGCATATCGATATGCAGGGCAGGTCTCCGGAAGCTGGCAGTGCCCAGCCGGTCCAGTTCTCACAGGTGTACAGGGTTCCAGGTGATTTCTGGGCTTCTTATTCTCCAGCTTTCCAACCCTCTCCTTGTACGGAGTCTCTGGGTCACAGTGACCATGCACTGGAACTAACCTGCCTCCCTCACTTTTGCACACCCTGTTCCTCTGTGTACTCAGCCAAAGCACTCATTATCCTTCTCTGGCACCCAGCACACTTGTAGATGATCCCATCTTGGTTCAACCCAGGTCCCTGCATTTAATCCGTGCGGTTGTTGGTATTCATTTCCCTGATCCATTGCAATCTTCAGGTTTTAAAAAATTCTTTGAAATGTAGATTACAATTTGTTCCTATTAAATTTCATCTCATTCATTGTTATTTCCCTTGTTAGTGAGCCTGTCAGATGCTTTAGAATCTTAGCCTTACTCTGTCCCCTAATCTCCCTGGACATCTACAAAACTGATTGGTTAGGGTGGTTTGTTCTCAGTGTGGGTCTGGTTCTAGGGAGAACATGGGACATTCTGTTGGCTGCTGATACCACCATGAGCTTCTCCCACCAATAGGGAAGTCCTGGGAAGTTGGTGGGAAGTAGTAGTGACCCTGCCAACATGGGCTTACACTGTTTTATTTTATTTTTTTTTTCTAAATGACATTAAGCTCACATCTGGGTGAGGCATTTACACTTAGGGTAGCCACTGTTTCAGGAAGGAGGGATGTTTTAGAATGGTTTCTGTCTACGGTACGTTATTATTATAGGGGAAAAAGAATCAGCTTGCAAAGAATCAACACAAAAGGGGAAATAGCAAGCTTCGCATAGCTCCATTATGTAAACTTAACCACTGTTAATATTTTGGTCCCATTTTGACACCAAAACACTTGGGTCATTTTTATATAAAAATGCTTCGGGTTCATTTATATACAATAACAGCATTATAACATAAGCTGGCCTTTCACCACCGAACAGGTAACGAATGTTCCCCATGTTTCCATCGTCCCACATAAAAGTTAGGAGTTGCTGAAACAGAATTCCAGTCTCTGAGACTTGTACCATGCCTTATTAATCGACGTGGTATTCCTTCCAACTTTCCACTCTCAAAGAACTTTACCTTCATAGACGTATTTGGGTTTCCTCTCTTGGCTATGTTAACGTATTACCTAATCCCAGTTGGCACACTGTTAGCCAAAAGTCTCAGATATAAATGTTGCTTTGACCTGAAGTTGAAAATTGGTTTCTTTGAAGAACCAGGAAACCCTGAGCACGTTGGCCTCTTTGTCTTAGCAAACACTGACCTGCAAGGACGGGGCGTGTTTTATTTCTGCGTCATTGATCCTCAGCACAGGGCTTATCATGTGAACTTGTGTGTTAATAGATCCTTACTGTTTGTATCAGTAAGGAGGTGAGTGGATTCTGTTGTAAATTGTGTGTTATAAAGTAAACAGAGGCACAATAAACCTGTAGAGACATTGAATCCATAAAGATTAGCATACTGGGCAGCTGCAGCCCGGAAGTGAGGATGTCACAGGACCCTTGCCACATTGTAGCAAACGGCAGAAGTCGGCCTGGGTATGCTGGTGGGGCCACATAGACAGCGTCTTTGCTGGAGAGCACTCCTTACGTAACACGACTGCCTGAGCTTAGGTTCTGTTTCTCTTTAACACAGGCATTTACAAGGCACAGCCAAGTGTTCCTGATGTTTGCAAACCAAGTGCGCTGGGTCGCTTCAGAGTCCTGCCCGGCTCCATCTGCTCAGGATTCTTCAGGCTTGGGACTCCATTTTTATCTAACTTGAGCAGATATCAAGTTACTTTTCTTGCTGGCATTTTCTAAATTGGTGGCTTTCTCCTAGACTTTTAACTACAATTTCCATTTCTTGGCTGCTTTTCAAAGGAAGTTGATATATTCCATTCTGTTGCCATTAACAGCTTCAATGAGCTCCAATTAGACACTGTGCACTTCATGGTGGTCAGTTCTGTGGCTTTTACCATGTGCATAGCCATCTCTGCAGCCAGTTTTACATGCCTGTTGTAAACCTGGACACGTTTCCCCACACTCGGTGCCTCTGGTCCTGTCTGTCCATCCTTCCTCTACCTGGACCAGAATTTAGGGAACCTGGAGGAGACTTGTGTTATATATGCCACCTGTTCTTGGACCTCTGTCCACTTTGAAAACATGTGTTCTTTGGTGAGTCTGACTTGCTCTGGAATCCCCATAGCTTCTTCTCTTCTAGAAGACATGGCTCTGCTTTCAAAGCCTGACCCCTCTTGAACGCTGAGCAAAGAGCCTTTGGGCCTCGCCACACCCACAGGCAGCCCTTTCCTGAGCAGTCCACATCTCCACTGTCATTCTGTTCCTGTGCACTCCAAACCTGTGTGCAATTCTTGCTGTTCTGGTCTCTGGCTTTTCTTCCGTCAACTGCGTGCCGCACTGCACGTCTTTGCTCCATTACACAACCGCCCCAAACGCCCCCAGATCTGCTCCTCCACTGTCCCACCAGAGCTCGTGTCTGCCAGTCACACCTCTTTCTTGTTTTCCCTACCACCCAGCTTTTGATAGATCAAACATCCTTCATCCTAGGGAATCTGTACTCTCTTTGAGCTTCCTCAACGTCCCCCCTTTGTTCATGACTTTGAATCCCGGCTCCTAGATTCCCCACCTCCACAGTTATCATCGTTCTGTGTCCTCCCCTTGTCTGGGCTCCAAAGGGAGGCAGCCAGAATGTAGACCTCATCACTCCAGCTTTTCTTCCCATCTCTGCACACGGACTTTGCAAGGTAAAGCTCTCTCTGTCCTCTGGGCGTGTGCCTGCATGCAGAAGTAGCAGCCAGTCTCACGTGTGAAAGCAATGTGCTCCTGAAATCTGTGTAAACCGAAATGTTTGCATGTGAATCCTCTGTGCAACAGTTCCCTGCAGGGTGTTCCTCTCTATGACTTCTTGGGGATGAGCAGTCAGTTTCTCACTATTTAACAAGGGAGGAGTTTAGCCCCTTGAATTTTCTTATCTAAGGGACAACGGAAGAGTAGCCTGCTTTGTCTGTGACAGGGTTCCTGGCCCCCTGTAACGTGCAGTCACGTGTGACTGAAGCCGGCCAGCGTGGCTGTGTGGTGTTATGCTTGTGTACGTTCACGGTCAAGGTCCATGGGGGAGTCATATAACATCCACAATACAGATTTTAAAAAAAAATGTTTTTTAAATTTTATGTAGGTGACTGTGTTCCTGCTTGTAAGGATGTGCCTGGTACCCACAGGGATCAGAAGAGGGGGCCAGATTCCCTGGAACTGGAGTTATGGATGATTGTGAGCCATCTGGTAGGTGTTGGGAACCGAACCCAGGTCTTTTGCAAGAGAGAAAAATGCTCTTAACCACTGAGCCATCTCTCCAGCTTCACAAGACAGGTTTTTGTTATTGTCGTTGTTTTATTTGTTTTTGTTGTTTTGTTTGTTGTTTGTTTGTTTTTTAATATTCAGAATTGTATCCAGAAAGCCCCCAGTTTCTTCTGCAGCATCCTGTTGATCACAGGTCTATGGGACACAGGACCCTTCCCCTGCCACTGTGATACTGACCAGTTGGCTTCAGTTTTTCTGGGGCGTGGAAGCAGTCTCAGTCTGGACAGAGTCACGGCTGAAGTATCTACACTGCTGAGCACTAACTAGTGAGGGGATGAGGTGCTGGGGGCTGGGTGCCTTCTTTCCCCACATTCCATGGTAATGGAGACATTCTGAGGAGATTTGTCTCATGCCTTGTGCATAACAGAACCCCATTCTTCATTTTAAGGTAGGTCGTTGTCTGTAATCAGTCTAGTATATTTGTTTGGTCACCTGTCACACCAAGAGACACGCTCCAGGTCAGACATGGGGACATAGAAGCTTCAAACAGCTACTGCTCTTAAGAGGGTGGAGGCTCAAAAACTG